GGTCCAGAGGGATTGGAGAGGTCCAATGCACCCACAGCTCTTGTGGGAGCACCCAGCATGCTGCGGGCGTGGGGGGCCCGGCACTGGGGCGGTGAGGTCTCTGGCAGCGCCTGACGCCGGCACAGCGGCTCCGGTGGGCACGGTGTCAGGTGGGATTGCTATGCTTCCTGGGAGCAGATCCCAGCACACCGGGGTGGAAAGGGGAGAGGATCCAGGTGCTGCCAAGGCGGGGCAGCTTGCGCAGGTGCCCACCCCTCTGGGGCACCGCCAGCTCCAGTGTGGGTCAGCCACCCCCTCAGGTTGTTGGCCTGGGAGAACTGCAGCCAGAGGGATTTGTGGGGGGCTCTGGGATGGGGATAACCCCACTGTGTGGTGAGGGGAATCCAGGGAGGTGGTAGAGTCACCATCCGTGGAGGTGTTTGAGAGGCATCTGGATCTGGTGCTGGAGGATCTGGTTTAGGGGTTACAGCAGTGACCGCTTACCAGTTGGACCTGATGACATTAGAGGTCTCTTCCAGCCTTGATGATTTTATGTGATTCTGTGACCAAGTGCCTCTGCCACAGCTCCTGGTTGCACGGGATGCAGCCCAGCAGGGATAAGCTTGGCAGGTCCCTGGGGCTCCCCCAGCGATGCCTGGAGGAACTCGGCCAGGAATGATCCCCTGTCCCTCTGCTCCCACAGGATGAGTTCCACCCCTTCATCGAGGCGCTGCTCCCCCACGTCAGGGCCTTCGCCTACACCTGGTTCAACCTGCAGGCCCGCAAGCGCAAGTACTTCAAGAAGCACGAGAAGAGGATGACGAAGGACGAGGAGAGGGCGGTGAAGGACGAGCTGCTGAGCGAGAAGCCGGAGGTGAAGCAGAAATGGGCCTCGCGCCTCCTGGCCAAGCTGCGCAAGGACATCCGGCCCGAGTGCCGCGAGGACTTCGTGCTCTCCATCACGGGCAAGAAGCCCTCGTGCTGTGTCCTCTCCAACCCCGACCAGAAGGGCAAGATGAGGCGCATCGACTGCCTGCGGCAGGCGGACAAGGTGTGGCGATTGGACCTGGTCATGGTCATCCTCTTCAAAGGGATCCCGCTGGAGAGCACCGACGGCGAGCGCCTGGTCAAGTCGGGCCAGTGCACCAACCCCATCCTCTGCGTCCAGCCCCACCACATCAGCGTTTCTGTCAAGGAGCTCGACCTCTACCTGGCCTACTTCGTCCGTGAGAGAGGTGGGTGCTCTTATTGGGGATGACTGGGAGCAGGTGGGACCATAC